TACCCCCCGGGTACTATACCAGAATTTCAGGCGTTCTGGTAAAAGACCCCGGGTACTAGAACCAGTGCTATACGGTAATGTCCAATAAAATATAAGAATATAAATTTGTGTTTCGGACTTAGATTTCTGTACCGCATTCGAAATGATCATCATACTGAACTACTCTATCTTAGTACCGCAGCAATCATATGATCAAATCGCCGTTCACATAGTATAAGGATTGGTTTTTGTTATCTCTAGCCATTCTTGGTTGATGAATATTAATATGAACACAGGATATGGGTATTAGTATGACAAACAAAGCACTAATGACTGATGACAAAGTTTCTAAATATAAATGCATTGTAATTGAGAGGAAAGGATGTTCAATATATTGATATTAATATCTGCTTTGGATAGCTTCAAAATATATTCAACTATTTGCAACAATAGCCTGACATAAAGTAAATGTATCAGTAATCTCAGGATTAATTTAGTATTAGTGGGTCCTTATTTATATTGGCACAGCTATAAGCTATGGTGGACTGTCTCAGGGGTGAAAGACTTGCAGAGTCAAATTGGAATAAAGCAGAATGATTCTCTAAAGCAGTTCACATTTTGTAAAAAATGAATTCGCATATAATAATATATTAATATTGTCAAAAAAATTTTGATGTTTAAATAAAAGCACTTTTTTGATAAAATATTATGAAATCTGTCTATTACTATTACCATGTTCGCTTAATATTAATATGTAGAAATGTGAGAACATAAAAAAAACGAAATTAACTAATATTATCTAGATTTAACATTATTTTTAATCCTTACATGATGAAAATTTGTTGATACAAAGTCAAAAATTTTTTAGGAATTTATTTACGGCTCTGTTTCTTGAATTAATTTTGGAAAGTATCCGGTTGGCAATTAACCCGTTAAACCGAATATCTTGTTAATCGAAAAATCACTATTACTGTTAAATCTTATATAAGCTGTTAACCGAAAAAGTTTTTTGACCGAAGACGAGTTCGTATAATAATAAAGTGAATATCTCAACGTGTAATCCGAAAATTAAAAAATTTAATCAATAAACATGGCATAATTACCTTGGTCCATGGTGAATGCAAAGTTGCTGAGCCAAAGTGACAACAATTCAATCGACAAGCTGGCACGTTTTTTTAGCAATGCCGAATGTCAATTTGACGTCAATAATGGCTTTCTCATAAGAGCTCAAACATTTTAGAAGGCAATTGTGTCAATTATTGACTCAAAGTTGCAAACGGAAATTCCCCACGGTTTTTTTTCGCTATCAATTTATCGATGTTGCTTTGTCTTTCGAGTTAATTTTGCAAATAAACGTTGCATGCAAAGTATGAATTAAAATATTGAAGTCTTTCTATAATGATAAGATTCGGTTTACAAGGACATTCCGCTTATCCGGAGAAAAAGGGCAGAACGGGATTTCAGTTTAACACGGTTGACGGTGTACTTATATTAATTACAAAAAAACAAAATGGTTGTATATTATATCGAAGATTCAACTCAGCTCGACTCCGAGCTACATTCATATGAAAACTGACATTGGAAAGCCTTATTATTGTTGTTTCACTGAGAAACGTCACTCAACATCAAATGGCGTAACGCTGTTGACATTACCGACAATGTCGGTAATTGACGTGACTAGAGCGGAAACGGGACTTTTTGATGTTGGGTCGGATCGGGTACAATATTAATATTAATATGGTATATGATAACGTGCCATGGTACAACGTTGAGAAGTATGAACCAACATCTCCTTATGACGTTACTAATAAATACATAATAATAAGGTTTGCGTAGCAATACCCATCACATCGTCGTCCAATGACATATACTTAAACCCTCTTTATTATAAATTTGTTGCTTAGTCATGACGTCTTTTACAGATTGTAATCAATGATGTAACGTGCACATTGGCTGACAAAATACGTTTAATGAATTTTTTTATTATTACGCTGTATTGTTTTCATTAGATCGACTGTGTGTAAACACACATACTATTTACTTGCCTGCTGTTTTGCTTAGTTAGGTATTTCCTTATCCTCATTATACAACATCGATGAAACATGTGGGTGGTGAGTGATTCGCTGAACCAATGTTTCAGCAAGCATCACCTGAAACTTTGGTGTCACAAAGAATTGACGAACATCTGCTCGTGTGAGGCGATCTAACCTTTTATGGTATTCTAACCAATGCAAAATCTAAAACGGTAAGAAAACTTGCCGCTCCAGAAATTTCTCTTGCCGTATATAATCTAGATGCATTCGCCATCTGATCAATCGACATCTTTCGTTATTCCCCACTTTAACAATGGTTGTCGCAAACGAGCTTGCAGCGTGGCACGTCCTACAACGACACTATGATTCAGAAGCAAAACAATACATAATGAGGGAACTTTTCCTCAAAGATCCCACTCGTTTCGAAACCTTTTCCCGTCAGTTCAAGGGTTCGCTCACCGACGCCGACATACTGCTCGACTTTTCAAAGAATGTTATCACTCAAGACACGTTTGCTACATTGATTCAATTAGCAAAGGAAGCAGATGTGGAAGGATTTCGAGACAAATTGTTCTCTGGTGAGCACATAAACTTTACCGAGGACCGTGCCGTCTTGCACGTGGCATTGCGGAATGTTTCAAACACTCCTATTTACGATAATGGAAAGGATGTAATGCCCGAAGTCAACGAAGTTCTTGATCAAATAAAAAACGCGGCAAATGCTATTGGAAGCGGCTCATGGACGGGATACACAGGAAAGCCAATTACAGATATCGTTAACATTGGAATCGGTGGATCCGATCTTGGTCCGGTAATGGTAACTGAAGCATTGAAGCCATACGCTAGACCCAACATAAATGCACACTTTGTGTCAAACATCGACGGTACTCATTTGGCTGAAACCTTGAAGAAAGTAGACCCGGAAACAACACTCTTCATTATTGCCTCCAAGACCTTTACCACTCAAGAAACTATTACGAATGCAGCATCGGCAAAGGCGTGGTTCCTCGAGACTGCAAAAAATGAATCACACGTAGCTAAGCACTTCGTAGCGATATCCACCAATACCGAAGCTGTAACCAAGTTTGGTATTGATCCGGCGAATATGTTCAGATTCTGGGATTGGGTAGGAGGAAGATATTCGTTGTGGAGCGCGATCGGGTTGTCGATTGCTATTTATATAGGTTTCGACAATTTCCATCAGTTGCTGAGTGGAGCACATGATATGGATAACCATTTCCGTAACGCACCGTTGGAACAGAATTTACCTGTTATTTTGGCAGTGTTGGGAATTTGGTATAATAATTTCTTTGGAGCATCGACACATGCGATTTTACCGTATGATCAATATCTGCATAGGTTCCCGGCTTACTTTCAGCAGGTAAATTGAATGAGTTGAGTGCTTTGAAAAAAAATGGGAAATGTCTTTGGAAAACAATCGGTGGAAGATGTAAATTCTCATTTCCGTGGTTAGACTGTTGAGAGTTAAGATTGTCACTTGTCGCGCGCGCGCTAATTATAACAACTCAATTGTTTTATAGGGTGATATGGAGTCTAACGGTAAATACGTGACTCGTGAAGGTACAGCGGTAACATACCAAACGGGACCTATCATCTGGGGCGAACCGGGTACCAACGGCCAACATGCCTTTTATCAACTTCTCCATCAAGGCACGAAAATTGTTCCAGCAGATTTTATTGCACCGATTCAGACACACAATCCTATTGCTAATGGCAAACATCATGAAATCCTTTTGTCCAACTTCTTTGCTCAAACTGAAGCGTTGATGCTTGGAAAGTCCAAAGACGAAGTTTTATCCGAGTTGGGAGATATTTCCGGTAAAGAACATATAGTTCCTCACAAGATATTCTTGGGAAATAGGCCCACGAACAGCATATTGGTTCAGAAAATTACGCCTGGCACACTGGGTGCCTTGATCGCCATGTATGAGCATAAAATATTCGTTCAAGGAGTTATTTGGAATATTAACTCGTTCGATCAATGGGGTGAGTTGTTTATGGGAATAGAGACACATATCTATATTTATTTTATGCATTAATTCATGCTGATATTTTTCAATTCCCTGCTTGTAGGTGTTGAACTTGGAAAAGTACTAGCCAAGAAGATCCTGCCAGAACTGCAGAACCAAGATGTTACAACTGTGTCGTCTCATGATGCCAGTACAAATGGTTTGATTAACTATTACAAGGCTAAGAGAAACTAGAATACTATCCGTTGAAGTTGATATGAATGTCGAGCATAAGTGTGAATAAAAACATCGAAAATGTTCGATAATTACTAATGTAATGTCTACTGTGCATTTATTTTCGTTCCCATGTTGTGCTAATACCGTGAATGTGTATAAATTAATCAAGTAGTTGGAGCGTATCTGGATAAATTTGGATAGAAATTGAAACATTATTTGAATTGTTTGAACGTCAAATTGTAGATTTAGGAAAGCATATGATAACACTCACCATTAGAGAGGGACTGCTTGTGCCTTATCCATTCCTCAAGACAGTTATTAAGTAGATCTTGTGCGGAGGAATCAATTGGCATAATACCTAGTGCCTGTGTAAGTTACATATTATCGCATTATCAAATTACTGTCGTTGTTATAATGAACGACATCATCCATATTATACCTCATGATACAATGTGATCGCTTTCTCATATTCTTCTTTTACATGATAGATATAGGCTAATGCCGCCAAGGCACCAGCATTTGGCGGAGAAATTTCTATTACTTTTTTATAATACATTTCCGCTTTATCGAATTCACTTGGAAAAGGTAAAATGTCAGCGTGCATAAGATGAAAATGATGACCGCAATACACCATATCACGTCACTAAACAAGATCGCTTACCACATCCTTCGATAGGCATGTCCAATATTCATCCAAGTTGTCACCCATATTTGTGGTCGACATTTGGTCTCCTCAATTATCTTCAACGCTTTCTCAAAATGTCCGACTGCAATTTGGTAACTGATAGTGATAACTTAATACCATCATCAATACTTAATAGAAATCATATCCACGTACATACTTTTGCTTATTGTAATATAAAACTCCCAGCTCGTTTAGTACTAGAGGGTCTCCTTTACAAATTTGATAACTGGTAAGCAGATATTCTTCCGCAGCTAGTAGATTGCTCGCCTGAAGGTGTTGCATTCCAATGAATAGGACTGGTAAATGAGATCTTTAAAAAAAAAGAGGTGATTAGAAACACCAACTATATCGTGAAATCAGTTGTATTTATTCATAAATTCATACCCTTGGAATAACCTAGCCGCTGTAGAGTATGCCGTAATAGCTTGGTCATGTTCTGATTCGAGGGCAAACGAATGTCCGAATCCTATCCATGCAGGACCATAATGAGAGTCTATCGTAGATGCCTTGCTATATTCATCAATAGCACCAAATCGTTGTAAATGTATGAATACATATTACTTTATAGAGAATCAGCAACTCGGCTTGCGTTCGCTCACCTGAAATATCTCCTGGCTTCTTCGTTCTGTCCAATTAAATAATAATAACAACCAACCCCAAACCATGTAACCGCCATTTCAGGATAATAGTCGACAAGCTCGTGAGCCAATAAAAATAACTTATTCTTCTCTCGCAATTCATGAAGACAAACAAAATGAATCGGTAAACAGGACTGATTGTATTTATCAACGTCTAATATTCTGGTTGTATGAGATCATGGTGAACAAATTTTTCAGAAACAATCGTTTTGAATAAACGTGATACGTGCGCTTACTTTGCTGTCAATTCTAAACATTCCTTGAAACGACATTGGGCATATAATTGTTCAGCATGACTCAGTATAACATCTGTGTTCTTTGCCAACCCATACTTTTGTTCTAAAACTGAACGAGCCTCTTCTATCTCTTTGACGTGTTCATGCTGAATTGAGGTCAAAATTCTTAGACAAAGTCTAAAGAGATGATAATATGTTGAAAACGTCTTTACGTACCTTCTTCAAAAGCGACACATAATTATTCTTGATAAATTCGGCGTCTGATGATCCACACTGTCCTTCAAAATCCAGGCAATTTACAAAGTTCCACTCTACAACAGAGTAAGTATAAAAATAATGGTTCGGTAAAATCGATCATAAATGGCGTGCGGTAATAGCCGTACCTTCGCTGCTTGTCAGCATATGATTTGATATTAAAGCATGAAAGGCCTGATCAATAGATACAAAAAATAAATAATTTACACATCATTAGAAAGCAATACGTTTGAATTTTCGTTACCTCAAAACATTTCACGTCCAACTCCACGGCTTCTTGGAAACATTTTTTCCCTTGTTCTAAATTAGCCAGCTGCAAATATGCCACTCCTCGAAGATAACACATCATCGCCTCGAGCTAATTAGATGTAAGCAAACGAATAAATAAAGTAATAAACTTAGATTCATTTTTATATAAGTAAAAACTTACTTTAATTCCGCCTTCCGTATTGATAACTCGCGCGTCGATTTCTGTGGTGTTTAGGCGAATTGATTCAAAAGGGTTTTATTTGCATTAGCCTCAGGATATAAGGAACATCTATTGTGCATGATGCAGCTGTTAACCGAGTGGAATAAATGAATAAAATAAAAAGCCAGTTAAAAGAAAGGGTTCGGTAAATAATAAACAAAGAAAAAATAAAACTTGCGCGCCGTAAGAATACTAGGATGGAAAAGAAAACACAACAGAATGGCGTAGAGATAAGACAAATCTAGTACGCTAATCAAAAAAAAAAAAAAAAAGAGGAAAGAGAAAGAGGTTGTACAGACTAAAAAAGCCATTATATTACAGGGAACAAACCTGGATGAAACGGATTTTCTTCGCCAAGGATATCCAAAGCTTTCTGGTACTGCTCCATGCGAATCTAGAGCATAATTCTATTAAACTCGGAAATGTCTTCCCTTTCTCAACAAACAAAACAAGGATCACTCACAGAACATTGTGCTGCAAGAACACGACACGCAACACTCGAATCCATCACTTCTGCCATGACACGCTGTGCCCGTGCATATTGTCCCATTCGAAAATACGTTTGTGCTAGCCAGTATACGTCGCTCGGATCATCTGAATAATATATCAAATTTTGGTTAAAATCAAGGCGTTCTTTTTTTCAATAATAAATAAACGGTTACCAAGTCGAAATTGTTGGAAAACTCACTAGTCATTGTCATAACCTTGTTTCCCCAAAACGCGGCAGTCTCGTACATATTATGCATTAACGCATCGTGCCTCCAAAGTCTCAATCTGTCCTCGAGATCCCAGCTTGCCATTGCTTCCGCACTAAACGTACTACCCCAACTCTCGCGCCTTCCAAAGATCAAAAACGGCGACGGCACTTGCTGGGGTGTGGAAGGACGGCTATGACCGGACGCGTTTGAGCGAGCGATCGAGGCTGGTGTCGAAAGAGGATCTGGCGTTGTCGCTAAAGGTGGATTACTAGCGCGAGAAGACGAGGACGAGCCATGGCGATTAAGTCGAGGAACGCGCGATCTTGGTCTCGCCATTGTAAAAAAGTTTAGAAAGTTCTTGGTATGATAATGAAGATGGATGTTCCTGAGGAAATTCGTATTAGTAGTAATTACCGTGGAAATTCGTAATAGTATTAGTAACAACTACCGTGGAAACTTGGCAATTACTGTGAAAATTAGTAGTGGCAATAATTACCGTGGACGCTTTGCAATTTCTGAGGAAATTCGCGTTAGTAGTAGTTACTGTGGAAACTTTGCAATTTCTAGGAAATTCGTACAATATACCGGGAGTAAAATATATCCGGAAGTTTGTTCGATGGGTAAATTGTCGGGCAGTTGCTTTTCAGCCCTTCTTTCTCCAACATGCGGCCGATCTTTACATGCACCTGGCGGAACACAGCAAGACTGAATGTGACGACCTTTATTCGCCGTAACAGTAACTGCACGCAGAATAAAGTAAACTTCAAGATAGGAAACGGTAACTTGCTTGCCTGACTATCGAGAAATGCGACTTTTTTAAGATATAATGGCTTATTCTCTCTAATATTAGCGTTCATGCTAAGACAAAAGCCATGGCCCGGACATACTGACGTATCAGCAACACGGCTGCGAACTTTGCTTCAGGATCACTTTCAACGTGTAGACTCGCGTTTGTTCAAAGTTTCTTATAACATTCCATTGGTATCAAGATCACAACTACCAAGAAATGCTATATTTTTTCATCACAAAATCATCCCATCACGATCGTACTCGACAAACCCTCGCGCACCTATTCCACGAGATGGATTGAAGATAATTGCTACTCTTGGTGGTGTGGCTCTTACAGCCATATTGTTTCCTACATTTGTTCTTTTTGCGATAACCGGTGCTCTTGCGTTCGGTGCCTACAGATTTTTAAGGAGAATGTTTGACATTTATTCACCTAGCGGACGTTTGTCTAATAGCTCGATAGTTTATCCTCCCGATACGCCGCTATCCCGGATGTTCAAAGAGGCGTTTCGCGGTGATTTTATCCAACCTTTCTCTCGTACACAACCGGCAGTTGACCAACTTTACTCTGAAGCAGTTTCCAAGATTCAGAAAGCGTGTGAGACTAGCTTGAGTGATCTGAAATATGATCTAGGTTATTCAAGTCACTTTTCTGCTGTTTTTACAGCACCTTACTCAACATCCTCTTCAAGCGTGAATACATCTGGATCCTATGGGAATTATCAGAAAAGGGAGATTGCGATCGAATTCATGGTCATGGGTGCAACTGATGAGCAGGGAATTGTCAGAGCAGTAGGGGAGGTGAATGGGACTCTAGCGGTGAAGAAAATTACGGTGGTGATGATACCATCAAGACGTAAATATGATATACCTCTCAATGTAGAGGAAGAGGGGCATGGCGACATTTTTGAAGCCGAATACAGAGATGTGAAATGAATTACAAGTTCAAAAGTGGGTGTATTCCAATGATGGAGTATTATGTGTTCGTAAGTAACTCGTCTATTGATGCAGAATTGACAATTATATAATATCTGTTGAACTATTTGCAGTGTAAAAGTTAGATTTATTTTTTACAATCTGATAAGTGAATGGATCCAGCAGTGTATTTGTAATAAACTTGTTTCATCGACGTTATGAAACAATTGAGCGTATGGGATTTCTTGAGAAGAATATCGATAATGAGTCTGGCGATAGATCAACGCTGTAGTGCTGTCGCCTACTAAATGATTGGCATCCTCGTCTGCATTATTAACGTTCTTTCAGGGTTCCTGCACAGTTGTAACATTGCGATTTAGCTTGCCTACCAATAAACCTTTCGAATATTTGACAATCCGACAAACTTATCACTGGCAATCCCACATACTGATTCTAAATCCTATACGTATATTGGAAGTTTCAACTTTTCGGGTAATGAGAGATGTACCTAATAATTTATGCTCTACCAATTATGCGGGTTATCTATGGAACTGTGATTGGCACGAATAAGGATAATTGGATCTTCCTTTGGTAAATTTAAGGTCCGACATGGAAATCGTCATTGATTAATTATCAGTTACATCCAAGATTATCAGTGAGTTTCATACTTCGCCCTATTATTAGAACGCGTGCCATGTAACTCAATATTATACCAAAAATCAGCGTTTATTGTGATTTGTGGATTTTAAAATAATTGGTAATGTTTGTTTTTTTTTCTGGAAACGGGCACATGCATAATTTATTTATAGAAAAACGAATCCAACTACCAGATCTTAAGAAAGCTGTGTTTAACAATTCTACACCCCTGCATAAACTACATTACCTGAGCCACGTGTTACCAACTTGTACAATTAAAGTAAATTTTTATTTAACGTTAATATAGAGCATAGATGAACGCGTTCTACTTAACGATTGACTATAATAAATACAAAGAGATTCTCGAATTACGTCTAGGCGAGTCGAATGATAATTACTTGGTATTATGTCGCGTGACGTTTGGCGAACTATTTTGTTTCTATCGGGATTTTGCAGAAAAAGACTCGATAATCAATTACTTTCTTACTACGAATAAACAAACCATGATGCTTGGAAATGATATATTAAATTATTAATTTTAGCGAATCAGACTTTTACAAGCCATATTGTCAATGATTATCTCACTCTTGTGATAGCTCTACATAATTGGCTAATAAAGAAAGAGAGTTGTGTTAGAACAGTTTCATAAGCTTATGGGAAGGAAAAATCTTATCAGACTTACCAGGAAACAGTCCTACGCTTCCATCAGGAGCTGTGCCTTGCCACCAATCGTCAGATTCAAATGTAATATTGGTTATAATTGCGCCTTCATCAAAGCTTATTTCATTCGCTTCATCGGCGGTGTAAGCATATAACGCTACTGCCGTGTAGCCAGAGTCTTCTTCACCCGCATGACTATAAGCTTCAGTTTCGGGCTCAGGCTCGGGCTCGGGTTCAGGTTCAGGTTCAGGCTCAGGCTCAACGTCGCCCTCAGTTGCAGCTGCGGTTACCTCATCAGATTCGATTATTTCCACGTAATTAGCTGTTTACAATAGGCGAACACAATCGTTAACGGATACATTTTGAAAACATGTCAAAAATATGCGTATAAACTCACCTGGAAATAGGCCAGACTTCTTGCCATCATCACCCTCGCCTTGCCACCAACCTTCATCCAGTTGAACGATATTCGTAATGATTTCGCCTTCAACTAGGGACATCTCATTACTTTCTCCTAATGTAGCAGAGTAAATAAGCTCGCGTCAGTCAAACAAGCCCCCTCCCCCCCTATGTCCGGTATCTAACCAGTACCTGCATCATAAGCATATATAACGACCGCAGACAATGGTTGGGCTGCGTGATCATAACCCTAAGCAATAGAAATAATTAAACTTTTAATAAAGCAGATCGAATATAGTAAATAGAAGTCAGAAATTGCCTTCACCGAATCGGCTTCTTGCTGTTGTTGTAGTAATTCTGCCTGTAGTTCAAGTCAGTCTGTTAATAAACAGTTTGATTAAATTATCAGACTTGAAGGTTTACATATTCACCTCGCGCTCTTCTTGTTCCTTTCGTTCTTGCTCTTCTCTTTCGTAACGTTCTTGTTCCTCACGCTCGCGTCTTTCCTCTTCTTCAGCTTCTCTTCTCTCTCTTTCTTCCTGTTCTCTCCGCTCTCGCTCTTCCCTTTCTTCTCGTTCCCTCCGCTCTCGCTCTTCCCGTTTTTCCCTTTCTTCTCGTTCTCTCCGCTCTCGCTCTTCCCGTTCTTCCCGTTCTCGCCGTTCTCGATCTGCCCGGTCTTCCCATTCTCGCTCTTCCCTTTCTTTACGTTCGCGTTCCTCTCTTTCGCGACGCTCTAGCTCCTCACGCTCATTTCTTTCTCTTCTTTCTCTCTCTTCTCTTTCCCTATTTTCTCTTTCAGTTCGCTTTCTTTCTTCCTCTTTCTCTCTTTGCTTCTCTTCCCTTTCTCTATTTTCCCGTTCTTCGCGTTCTCGTTCTTCTCGTTCTCGTTGTAAACGCATCTGTACAGGAGAAGGTTTGTTCTCTTCAGCAGTTGCCCAAGTCGAACGTGTGCCAAGAGGTTTTGGGGTCGGAAGTTCTGTCTTTTGGTATGTTGTTCCCTGTGATTTGTAGTTGAAAGATATTTATCAAACGAGGAAACTAGAAAAATTATCAGACGTTTTATCACGTACCACGGGCTTGATTGGAGCTCGTCGCGCAGATTCGCGCTGCATGGCCGCGATATCCGGTATTTGCTCTCGTCTATAAACAGAGCCCTGAATAGAAAAAATGAGACTCTTACTCGCTAATTGTCGTTACAATTGCTGTTACATGTAGGATGATAGTGTTGACGTACCACAGGGAGGATGGGTTCGGGCCTTTGCGGAGCCTCTTTGTGAATAGAATATTTTGAACCGCCACTTTCTTCGATACGCTTCATTATATAAGCTGGCTCGACATCTGTCTACAAATCCAAAGCCGGAATCAATGAGCAAAATTGCAAAGTGCGCGCATCAAAAACCATAACAATTTACACGTTCCCTACCTCGGATCGGGCGTGAATTTGAAGATGGTAGCCCTTTTTTTTTTTTTACAAAAGCCGCTTAGAGAAATATATCTGAATAGCCAACGCTTTCGTTGTAATTATAAACGTCATACCTTCAAAAAGCTTGAAACTTCGTTAAAATGCGAGTTAAATAACCCTTTTTTCGCTTCAGGAACTCCCTCACCACACTTTAAAACCGAAAATTAACAAAATAGATTAACGAGAGAAGCGAAAAGAGCAAGGTATTAAACAAACATGCTACATACCCAACCGATAAGCACAAGTTTTGGCAATTCCGTGTTGGGATCGATAACCCTTACGAAAGCATATTGGATTTTGCCGTCATTAAATTCGTCTTCTAATTCTTCTAATCCGCCTCCTGCAACACAAATCGAAAAACATTCTCTAAGAAAGTGTGTTCTGCCAAACGATCGCGGCAGTTCCTAAGCGTAGTTTTTTTAGATCATGCATTTATAGTTTTTACCTCCACTACCCAGAACTTTTAAATCGTTTGTTCCTTTGTCATAGCCAAATAGACCCCAGTTGATATCTTCGTTACCGTTCAAGACAGCTTTGTATGTAGCGGTTAATTCTTTGCCATGTGCAGCGAAATTAACTTTGAGAGACATGTTTTATAATAATCGAAAGAATCGGTCACAAACAACGTAACAGAAAAAAAAAGGGCTTTTTGTACTCAAACTATTATTGCGTTTAACTTTTATGGTGATTTTCGCAATACATAAAATACACACCACATATATATTATGTAACCCGCTGTTTTGACATGCATGAATTAATTCGTTCATGGCAAACCTACCACCTGAAATATGGAAAGAGATTATAGATTCGTTCTCTGACAACCACAGCTTACGTTCCTTACTAATAGTCAACAAAAGCTTTAGCTCTCTCGCCGTAAGAAAACTGTATGGAAGAGTCGTCATTGGCTCATCAGCACAATTCAACAAGTTTGCTGACACCATCATAGCTCTAAACGACGAGGGCCACAAAACCTACTACCATTATGCGACTTTTGTGCATGCCGTAACCATTAATACGTTCAAACGAGAAGCTATCTTTCCCTGGTACCGTCTTTCGAGTATCTTTGCGCTCTGCGAGAACGCCGATGGACTTCTCATAGGTCCTACAGACCAATATGCCGATAGACAAACCGTCTCTGTGCTCGAAGACATGCCTTCGATGACATTGGTAACGCACTGTCTGGCCAAAATCATTGACATGCTCGCATCGCGCTCGATTCGACGATTGTGTCTGCGATCATTGAGATTCTTGGCTGAATTTCAACGCCACGGCACGCGCTTTTCGACCGCCCTTGGAAAGCTGCGTAAGCTCGAGAGTTTGGAACTCTGGCACGAAAGTGGACGTCCATTGGGAAACGGAGGTAAGAAGTGTATAGTGCAACTTGCGCAAATGAACGATCTCAAAGAAATTCATCTGGATACCTTTGTCACGGATGAATTGGAACTTGACAATGTCTTGACCATTTTTGAAAATTCGCCCAATCTCGAGTCGCTGACTTGGTGGGGTACGCACTATAATAAAGATGATGAGGATTATTTGTATCGTACCATATTTAAAGAGTGTACCAAGTTGCATAAACTAGTTGTGGAAGTCTCTGGGTTTCAAGAAGGTGATGACTTTCTCCGTCTTTCGAGACACAGTCAAGGTTTGGAAGAACTTACAACCTGGTGTGATATTGGCATCGGCGCTCTGCCACTTTCTACTTTCATGACGTTTGTCCTTAGAAATGCTTCTACTTTGAAGCATGTTAATGCTTTGATCTCTCTTGCTGGTCCGCCGGTTAATCGACGTGTTCATAATAATAATAATCCTAATCGTAATCTCGTCGGGCGCGAGTCAGACTCTGAGGAGGACGAGGAAGGCGAATACGACGACGAAGTCGTGCACAATTTATCATCATTTTACCACCCCAATCATACCAACTCGTATGCCGAGTGGGTGCAGTCGCTTTTTGAGATTTTCCAAGAGACGAACCGAGAATGGAATATCAATTATGACACTTCTGTTTATTTATGTCATACTCAATTTTCACTTGTGCTGAATGAATATAGACAAGACATAGAGAAAAATTGGCAAACATTAATTGATAAACACATTGGCCAGGTTGTATCTAATATTTGTCAGAACATAGATAGTCTAAAGATTTTTCTAACATTTTGGTGACAATAGACTGTATTATTTATTTTTATTGTAGCGATCGTTTATTATTCTTAGTATTTGTTTCATTATCTAAAATATATAATTTATTCAGTCTTATTATTTATTGTTTTGTTTGTTCCGCTTCACCTCTAATAATAAGTTTGCGGAGCTGACAAGCGCGTGAGATTAAGATGACACTTTTTGCGATGGCTTACAATTGTCGTGTTTATTTAGTAGGTGGATGATGATGATTCATTAAGGGTATTGTAATTATTCGTAAAAAATTTCTCAATTATGGTACAGATCAACCCTCGTAACCAGTACGAAAATCCAAGCGAAAATTCTCCAATAATAAAACATTTCTATAATATCACAACACAACTATTATTAGATTGTTTTTATATCGGAATCACGGTCGTCTATCCTAAATTAATCCTCGTCAGAGTCCGATAAACTATCGTTCAGTTCCGTCAGACCAATGTTCTCTTCACCGAACGCGTGCAATAGTGTTGCTTCTCTTCGCATTGCGAGGGTGGTATTGCCATCACTCGACAATGGTAGCAGTCCATTACCATTATGGCTCATCGGTAACCTGTCCTCGTATGTGGAGCAATTTGATCGTGCTGTGTTGAGAAGATAGACTCCAGAGAATATTGTGAGAAACCCGCAGAAAAGAGTAATCACATGAACGGCTCGGCTCGTGTTGAACCCTTGGAAAAGGATGGCCGATGCTCCGATTGTTGATGTCGTGAACAAGACGTAGTATATTGGATTTACTCTGATGGAGGGGAAAAAAATAAAGCAGCGCAAGCAGAAACAAAGACACAGAAGAAAAAGAAAAGAGATCAGTTTCAAATGCTTGTGAAAATTTAACAATGACCGCACGCACGATACATCATAATAAAAGAAACCACTTACAAATTAGTTGAGTATTGGTCAAGAGCTTTGTTAAAGTAATTCATTTGGGTTATGATACACAAAGTAGCAATTATAATAAAGACGTACGTAGAGGGATGTGTCAATTGGTTATTTCCAGCAAATGTCAGCTTGAGAGCAATACCAAACGCCTTGCACGCCATGACTGTGATTGAACCAACTAGCGAGCAAATAGATAGATAAACTAATGGATTCTTCTTGCCGTATTTAGGTACAACAGTCGTAATCATGAAAATAGTAAATACTACCACAATTACGCAGTAAATCAGAAAGCCAGGTTGCAATGCATACACTAATATTTCATCAACAGTGCGTATCTGCCTGTCTTTCGGTGCGTGGAGTATTATGATCACTGAACCAATCAAGCATAATCCACATCCAACAGTTCCTATCCTGCCCAACCTCTCATTCAGAAATATCGAGGCGAGTATGGCTCCAATCAGGACGCTTAACGCACCAAGCGGCGTCACTAGTATGGCGGGTGCAAATGAGTATGCTGCAAAATTTAGTATTTCGCCAGAAACCACTATGATAAGAAAAGAGGGAGAGAGAAAAGAGAGGGAGAGACCAATCGTGAGAAAGAAAGCAAACAAACGGGTCGGCATTATCCGACCCAGGATCAAATATACCCCTCAAAGTGAGTTGCAAAAGTGAGTGCAAAAGTGAGTTGCAAAAGTGAGTTGACAACATACTTGTTAACA